AAGACTACTTACGATGCTCTAGCTAAATGTACTGGTACTTTATATTGTTGTGTTTTCAGTTTCTTCTTTACCGGTGCAGATAAAGAATAATGCAGAGACAAAGGTTTAATATCTCGTGGTCTCTAATTATAAAATATGTTATATTTGTGTGTATTTTTCCAGACCCACAGTGTTTGTCTCAGCCACTCAGCACTGCCAGACTGGATCCAAGCAACTTGGTTTCTTCTCAACTTTCGCCCCTCCATCTCAGCACTTTTAACAGTCTCAACTCAAACTTCTCGGAGTAAGGTCTGGAAAAACCCGACACGCTTCATCTATAACCGACCTCACTGACGCCTTTAGAGTTGATGGTAAATATTTTTGTTCTCTTTTGTCTTCGTGTCCAGCTGGAGGTTCTTCCCCGTTGTCTCCAAAGCAATTGACGCAGGAGATGCTGCTGATTCCTCTTCCCACTCCACCTGAGAAAGACGTTGTCATGATGAGTGTTTGCACTTCCTGTTGGAGCCCCTGAAGACAGAAAACTCGTGGGAGTTCCTGCACTACCTGGTGGAGCTTGCCAAAGAGGTAACGGGCTTTTGTAATGATACAGTAAACTTTAATGCTTTTTGGCGAAAACTTGGGCATGCATTAATTGTAAATATATTTCAAATTTCCCATATGTTGAGCCCACCCTGTGGTGTCTAACAGAGACAAATTGTGGGAGTACTTTCAGATTCGATATTTTGGTGTAGCAATCCTTATATTGAGTTTCCTTTTAAATGTGTAATTTCTGCCGCTAAGGAGATGAAGTTTAATTAACGTGGTGGTGACAGGTGACTGGTGAAACGCACCTTTGCTTGAATAGAATTAATGATTCTTTCTTTTGAACCATTTGTTGAAACATTTGGATAATGGTAACTTCACAACTGAACCAAAATATATAACATAGTCTGGATGTTTATAGGACATTGTACATGCAGAAAGTTGGTATATATATTATAGCTTCAAATCCAAATAAAGAGAAATGTAGCCGCGTATACACACAAAGACAGCTTGCCAGTTTCAAATTGGATTACAATTATGGAAAGATACCCTACCTCCATCATATTAATGATACCATACTAGACATATTTGACATTTCTGGAAAATTAGCTGCAAGAAAAAATGGGGGGTTTTTTTTTTTTCGTTGTTTTTTTTTAAAAACCATTAAAATAAGCAAATTAAATTACTTGACAAAAAAATCAATATTTGACTTCTGCCACAGTGGGACTGAAGAAAGTTGGGGAACCACTTCATAAACCATTATTATTAGATTGTATTTATATTCTGAAGCTTATTCCCTAATACTCTATTCAGTTTATTTATTTTGTTCATTTAGAGCATGTATCACAAGGTATGCTTTTTCCTCACCTCTCTGATGACCCGGGCCCATATTGTGAAAGACTCTAACTCGTTGTACTCCCATTATCGTCTATCACTATGTGTATTTTTGAGTGCCAGGCAGAAAATTACATTTCAATCCATCTTGCATGTTGGCGTAGTTGGGCATGGACTCCCAAAATGCTAAATAAAGTTTCCTTTTGTTCTATTTGTGTCTGTCAGTTTTGCAGAGAGCTGGGGGGTACGGAGCCATACCATCTCTGCACAAGCAGCTTGAACCTGTCACCTGGGCTGCCATAGATGCCTGCATATTCATGCACCAGAGGGCTCAGCTCCATACACAGAAAAACCTTTAAACTTGAGTAAGTGTTTGAATGCGATTTTTTCTAATTGCCTCAGCCAGGATGAGTCCTTATCTTTGTATGATTGTAGATGTTGTTTCTTTTTAAAGTTAGTATTTGAAAATGTTAGGGCACGCTGCACACAACAGTGACTGAATATTGCTTTCTATATTGTCGATTTGTTCAGGAGTGCGTGCCAGAGAACATTGCGGTGATGATTTCTTTAAATATTGCTTAACTTATATTCCAATTAATCTATTTTACTTTTATTTTCTGGGATTTATGTTTGGAAGGTTTTACGATGAAATTATTTTAATGGTCCATAACATTTATTAAACTCTTTCAGTTCACAGTGCCCAGTAACCCAGGTACACACGGCGTAAAAAATCTCTTTGGTCTCACTTTAATCACTCATTACATCTACTATGAGCTGCTATAGAGCTAAAATCTTTTTTTTTTCTGCTATTTGGACAGCTTACTAACATCTTGCAGAAAGTTAACGAAGGTATCCCATTTGTATGATTTGTATCCAAACTTGCAAATAATATTAAGTTTTAAAAGTCTCTTTTCCTGACATGTATTCTGCCTTTTTCTCCTGTTATTTACAGCTCTGACTGCCAATCGTTACTTAAAAAACATCTAGTGGAAGTTCTTGCAATTTTACCTTGGGACAGTATGCATGTGCACAGGGTGACGATCTCATTTAAAAGACTTAAAGTAAAATACTGTATATACTGTGAAATGACAATAAAGACTAATATTTGATTTCTGATTTGAAGTCATATTGGAAATATTTTTTTAAAATGAACTGTCTCACACATACAGCTGGAGAACTTCACAGCCAAATCAGCTTGGTGTCTCTTCTGAAAGTGCTAATTGTGCCTGGAAACAGCAGCCACTCTTAAGGTGCTGGTGGAAGCCTGCTGCTGACTAAACTTTCCTCTGTTTTGGACCCAGCTCATGGACACTTGGCTAAACCATGCCGGTGAGAACTATTTTTAACCCTCTGATTTCGACACACACACAACTATTTAGCAGATTATAAATGAGATAATTAAATGTATTAAGACCAAAAAAATTAAAAACTCGTTTCTAGAAGGTAAGGATAGCTCCAATGACCCTTCGCTAAAGCCCCGGGCCTTTTTGGACTCGGTCAATGGGTTGCCTTTCCTGAACTGCTATATCCTATCATGCTATCGCTGCTAGCTTATCTATTTGAAAAGACAACCCATTTTCCAAGAATGGTTAAACGCAACAAATGCATAATCTCATTTGAATTTACAATGATCTGAGCAATAAATCAGAATTTGAGCTCTGAGCTTGCAGATTCATCCTTAGCACAGGGGTGTGATTTAGGAATGGCTAAGTTATTGCAATCGATAATGATTCAATCAACTGAATCTCCCCTACAGTCCCGGATGACCGATGGTCGGTCCGTCAGCTCTGCTGATTTTGGACGTATTGGAAGAGATCAGATTGGTCGATACTGACGGATGAAGGCAGCTGATGAACGCGTGTTCATCGAGACGGTGCTTTCGACCGTCCTGGACCGGGTTCCTGCCGTCTGCATCAGGAATGCTTCCTGCACTGTCTGAGCAGCATGAAAGCCTCAGCTGTCATTCATACCGCAAATGTAAGCAAATGTCCACAGACTGCCCTTCACCTCACACAGAAGCTCTATTCATAGCAGACATGGATATTACCTTATCACACTTCTCCTTTATCTAGTTGCTACAGCTCATTCTAAGGCAACAAAAACTTAACGAGTTCCTATATTATGATATATACCTTAATCATACCTGCGAATATTGTATTTGCATTTTGCTGCCAGTAGGGATCCTGTTTTTTTCTGTTATGTTCAACAAATGGCGTCACCTGACTCTGCAGTTCCTCTGCATGGAGCATTTTAGCATCTTTCAGCTAATTTCTGGGGGGGGGTTCTGGTATCCACGATTGTATCCCACTGTTTTGGCATTCTCACGGCTGTCATCAATATGTTTTCAGCAGGTGGCAGCTGTTTCTGTCGAAAAAGACAATGTACATTACCTGCCCAGCAACTTAGTTGGTGAACAATAGGGGCAGCATTCTATCAGCTAAACAGCCTGGCATATGTGTACATTGTAGTTAGAGGAAAACAAAGAAAGAGCGAAAAGGGAGAGCAATAAGGTTGTCATTCATTCAAGTGGACCAGAAAACACAGCCAAACATGAAATGTTTGTAATCTGTTTGCTAACTGAAATATTCATAATTAAATCAGTGTTGTGTTTACAGCTTTTTCTTGCCTGCCCCAAGTGGGCAAAAAAAATCTAGTAGTGCGGTTTCAGGGAAGTAGGAAGATCATTCTTCATGCTAACGAGGCTAACGTTGCCTATAAAATATTCAAGAGCTCATCTACGGCTGACGAGCTCTGAGATGTTAATTGCCACCATGCAGCCTGTTGATTTAGGTTACGACAAAGACTCCCTCTGGTGCTCTCTGTTTTTCATCCAACTGACAAGAAGAAATGTGTGTTAGTGAGAGTTACAACCTCTTGATTTTAAAGACCATTTCATCATTAAATTACCCTCATTATCTAATATTTGGAATTCTATGGTGATTTTATTTTTCAGACTGGAGGAATTTATCGACCCCTTTGATCAGACCTGATAATATCTAACAGCACTGTAGGTGTTCAAGGATTTACTGCCTTTCGTTTCCTGTCGCACTCCAGGTACTTGATATGAACACGTATGGTGAATGGATGTGACTATTTTCAGAACCGTACTTCACTTTCTAAACTCAAGAGGCTAAAAAAATAGTGTGTCGGCACTTTAGAGAAATTCTTTATTTTTCTCTTGTATTGACTCGGTCTTTACTTGTACACGGTCCAGACTGTGTGTCGGCCTCCAACGCAGTGCAGATTGGTTGATGAAGAATCTGGTCCGTTTTCAAGACTACTGACCGTCAGAGAGCTGGTTCATCTCAACCCAGACTTCAACTCTGTAAGATATAATTTCTGATAAACATCAATAGTTTGTATAAAACTGGTCAGTGCTATTCTCATTACCTTGTTATTTTTAGAAGTAGTAAACTTATTGTTGATCCTCTCTTCCATTCAGCTGGAGGCGCTACGACTCCTGACTCCAAAGCAGAGTGCAGAGCTGCTGGTGGAGACTCTTCCGGCTAATCCAGACAAAGACGTCGTCATAAATACGATCTTTGATTACCTGACTGAATCTCCCGACGAGATGAAATTCACAGAGTTCCTGTCCGACCTCGTCATGTTTGTCCAACAGGTAGAAAGAGAAACCTGATTCCTCTTTATTCAAAATGTACACTTTGTTCTTTTTGTTGAAGGTAATAATCTTTATTTTCTGTATTTGAAGAGAAATCTTTCCTGTTCATCATACAAAACACTGTGAGTCCATATATATTTATGTTTATTTTAGATTGTATATTTATTATTTACTATAATCA